ACACACACACACACACACACACACACACACACACACACAGACACACACACACAGACACTCACACACACACACACACACACACACACACACACACACACACACACACACAGTGACACCCTGCTTTGTGCCTCCCTCTCTTCACTATATGTTACGGAGACATGAGGCTCAGTGTCAGAGGATTCGTGCAGCTGCAGCGTTCAGAAACAAAGAGCCAGTCTCTCGGCATCTGAAGCTTCCAGCCATGTTCGTTGCTCTGATCATCGTTTGCACGGCTCAGATCGGCAGTTTCTACTTTACTGCAGTAAGAAAAGGACAGAAGGGATGTTGTTAAGAGGCCGTTAACATGTTGTTTGCCCAGTTGTGTAATGAACTGTACTTAAGTCTTAAGAGTTTTATACACTTTGATACCCTATACTTTTACTCGTTTACTCAGAGGTGGAAAGTAGTGGAGTACAAATACTTTGTGACTGTTCTTAAAGGTGGGGTAGGTAATTCACTTCAGAAACACTTGTTATATTCCATGGAATGCTCTTAACATCCCGATAGCAATGAATACATTAAATGCTTTGACAATATATAAAAACATTTCATCTGTGGAAGCCGTGGCGCTGTAAAAAGCACGACCAATCATCTGCCTCGGCCCGGGGCAGATGATTGGACGGCCTACCTGCCTGTCAGCCCTCCATCTCGTGCTGTATACTTTTTACACCTTCAGACTATATGAAGCTTCATTCGATGATTCTGAAATGAGCCATGCTGCATACAGTAATGAGGAATATTTATTTGAGTACTTCTGGTATATTTTAATGCTATTGTTTTGTACTTTTACTTTCATGCAGGACTTTACATTGTGTATTTTACCCTGTAGTATTGCTACTTCAGTAAATGATCTTCCACATAAGCGATTTAGATTTTTTTATCTTCACAGCATCTGTATACCTTTTCTTTGTCTCTAATGCTGGTTTATTTCTATTTCTATTTTGATATGTTTATATTTTAGAATATATATTTCTACTCTTTGAATTTGTTATGATGTTCAATGCCTTGTTTTGTTTTTCTGTTGCTGCAACAAAACAAAAATGTCCAAATTGGGATTAATAAAGTACATATTTTCTTATCACCCTATTGCAGTATAATTATATGCAATGCATATTCTTTCTAACCTTGTTCAAACGGTGTAGAGAAATGCCTCTGAGCTGTCAATACGCTTGGCAACGTTGCATTAGAAGAAGCTCCAGTTCTCCTGACTGACTGTGCAGGATTCACATTTTAATGGAGGTGTGCATTCAGGAGAGTCTGCAGGAAGCTCAGCAGATGCTTGATGCTCCCAGCAGGTCAGGAGCAAATCAAAGTGTGTGACTGTTGGCACACCATGTGCTCAGCAGGGAGCAGGAAGTGTGGAGGGCAGAATCTGAGACGCTTGGCCTTTTTTCTTCTTGATCCTTGATCTGAAGGAGCTCTTCCTCCCCTCAGACTCACTTCCTGCAGACGCAGCAGTACTGGGGAATTCAAGCCGTCTGATTGGACAGCACAGTTGGCGCTATGGCAGAACACCTAATGATAGGAGGGGGGGTGACAACCAGCCTTTTCATGAGGTGAGGTTCAGGAGAGCTTAAAACGTGAAGAGGACCAAACATCACACTGGCAAAAAGGTTGTGTTTTCATCCTTCAAACAAAAACATGAACAAAGAAACAAAACTGGTGAGACGACTAAACGCCATCACGCCCAACATTAGCCTCCTTTAGCTTAGCGGTGGAGTCATGTGACCGTGCTGTATTTCCTTTATAGCCCAACATTAGCCACCTTTAGCTTAGCGGTGGTGACGTGAAGTCATGTGACCGTGCTGTAGTTCCTTTATAGCCCAACATTAGCCACCTTTAGCTTAGCGGTGGTGACGTGAAGTCATGTGACCGTGCTGTAGTTCCTTTATAGCCCAACATTAGCCACCTTTAGCTTAGCGGTGGTGACGTGAAGTCATGTGACCGTGCTGTAGTTCCTTTATAGCCCAACATTAGCCACCTTTAGCTTAGCGGTGGTGACGTGAAGTCATGTGACCGTGCTGTAGTTCCTTTATAGCCCAACATTAGCCACCTTTAGCTTAGCGGTGGTGACGTGAAGTCATGTGACCGTGCTGTAGTTCCTTATAGCCCAACATTAGCTTTTTACTTCAGAAATCATAAAGTGGTGTTAGTATGTGGAGATTATCCTGCTGAACTAAACGTGTAAATATCAGAAACGATGCTGCCTTCAGGGTCCATCACTACTGATATTTCTCCCAGTTCTTCCCCCTCACCTCCTCTTTGAGTTGCTCCTCAGTCTTGCCCACCCAGGCCACCTCGGGGTGGGTGTAGATGACGGAGGGGACGCAGTTGTAGTCGATGTGCACGGCTCCGCCCGCCATGCCCTCCACGCAGATGATGCCCTCGTCCTCTGCTTTGTGGGCCAACATCGGGCCGGCGATCACATCCCCGATCGCAAAAATACTGAGAGAGAGAAAGAAAGAAAGAAAGAAAGAAAGAAAGAAAGAAAGAAAAAGAGAGAGAGAGGGGAGAGAGAGAGAGAGAGGGGAGAGAAAGCTAAATGTTTTAATATCCTCTATATCTGACTTTTTCTGAAAATCTAAAAACTTTTTCCTCAAAATTCTGACTTTTTCCTTTCAGAATCTCTTTACACAGAGGACACACATGTTTATGTATACAAAACATTAAAATGTGCCTTTTGCACGATAGGAGACCTTTAAATAACACGTAGATATAGGGTACCTGGGCACGCTGGTCTGGAAGCGCCCGTTGACGGGGATTCTTCCTCTGTTGTCCAGCTCGATGCCCACAGACTCCAGGCCGAGGCTCTGAGTGAACGGCCGTCTGCCGACACACACCAGCAGCACGTCGCAGGTCAGGGTCTGGTTCTTCCCTCCAGCTGCTGCCTCCACTCTGAAACACACACAGGGTCACAACATGGCTGCTGCCTCCACTCTGAAACACACACAGGGTCACAACATGGCTGCTGACTCCAGTCTGAAACACACAGAGGGTCACAACATGGCTGCTGACTCCAGTCTGAAACACGGAAGGAA